ACCATTCCCTTTCTCAGCCAGTTAATTCTGGACCGCTGAGCCACGCTTTCTAAACAGCTAGACAGCAGTTGGGGCTTCAGGAATCCATTTCAGCCATTACCTGGATGGCGTGTTCAGTTTGGTGACCAGACTCCCTTCCTATCTGAAACGTTAACAGACAACCAATAAATAGTATTTAGGATTTTTTTTTTAAAGGAAGTAGGGTCTAACATTTTTACGTTGCGTTGGGATTTTGTTGTTACTATAAAAAAAGAGTGACTAAGGTATATGTAAAAAGGAAACCTATAGTTCAGATTTATGGTGCTGTGAGTTCTCCACAGTTTAATAAAATAAAACCAAAGCTCTTAGGTTTTCCTTCACGGTTAATACTAACACCATGCACATTCTCGGCCAGCCCAGCTCCCATCCATAGGTCATGCTCTGGTTCAGAGACTTGGGATGGGTAATAAGAATATAAAACATGCCTCTTGCTCCCCAGCTACCACATGTTAATAATAATAGTAGTCATAATTCACTGGAATCCTGGGTTTTCAGGCTTTCCTTCGTTTGCTTGTTTAATTTAAAGAAATAAAAAAAAATCTTGAGAAACAAGCCAGCATTGCATAAAGGGAAAAAAAATTACACCTTTTTAGCAGAACTGAACAGTTCCTTTAATTTGTGTGCGCCTTCTGTCCCTCAGGAGTACTTTGCTGTTGTAGTTGGAGGTGCAGGGCCAAGCACAGGGGGTGGCAGTATTACGTTAGCTTAAAGCAAGCTTCTCAACCTTGGCACTCTTGAAATGTTGGGCTGGATAATTCTTTGTTGTGGGGACTGTTCTGTGCTTTGTAGGATGTTTAGCAATATCTCCAGTCTTGACTCACTACATGCCAGTAGTATCGCCCCGCCCCCGACTGTTGTGACAATCAAAAGTGTCTCCAGACTATCAAATGTCCCCTGGGGGACAAATCTCCCCCAGATGAGTTCTACTGGTTTAAAGTAAAACAAGTGTCGAGGGTTTTTTTATTTACCCATTTTCTCTAACTTGAAAGTAGCAGGAGTATGATATATTATTTTTAACGTGGGAGCAAGAAGTGATTTAGAGTTTTAAATTGTGTTAGGCTATGCCTTTTTCTGGGCTTTCTGGGTGAACCATGATTTAATTTTAGCTTTATGTTTCAGAGGTTTATACATGCACTTGGAAATACATAGAACCATTCTTTCTTATGTCCATGTCGTCACATAGATGGTTATTTGTAGATTATTCTTGCAGTTGGAAGTAGCTAAAGTGATTGATAGACTCAGTAAGTTCACATTTTAGTAACCTCAGATGAAGTCTGACCCTTTGTATCTTTTTCTTCTTTTGCTGGAAGTCTTTCATAGCTCAGTGATCTGGGGATTCATTGGAGAAATTGAATGTTTGAGTTCAAATAACTCAGTTTCTATTTCCAGATGATCCTTGCTATCTGATGCTTTCTAAAAACAATAGGAATTAAGAGGGAAAATAAACATGCATGGATTTGATACTGTGTTTATTTTCCAGTAAGCTTCAGTTAAAAGGAAAAGAACTCTAGTTTATCTGAATCTCTTTTCAAACAATGTACACATTGGGATTAGCAGCAGTTTGCCAGTCTGTCAGAGTTAACCTTTTGCATTTTTTAGTTAATACTGGAGATGTTGGAATTTCATACTAGTCGAGGTGTGGAAAGTATAAAGGTAGACACTGGTTCTCAGTCTTGGTTTCAATTACAATTACCTGGGGAACTTTGAAATAACCCAGGGCCCAGGTCACATCTCAGACCAGTGAAATCAGATGATCTAGGGGTGAAGCCCAGGCATCAGGGCTGGGTCCTTGCTCTCCTTACTCCAGTGGGAGTGAAGGTTGAGAAGCAGAGCACATTTTTATAAGTAAAGTTTTATTGGAATACTGCCACGCCCATTCATTTCCCAATTATCTAGAGATCCTGTGGCTTGCAAAGCCTAAAATATTTACTATTTGGCTATTTACCAGAAAAGCTTGCTGACCCCTGCTCTAGACCCACAGTGAACATTTTTCAAATATTTTGAAAAGAGGCTTTATACAAAATTCATAGTAAAAGGGAGCGAGTCCCGCATTTTGCAGAGCCTGAAGGCTCAAATCCTGTCAGTTTTCTTGCACCTTGGGAAAATTGAAAAGCATATTCCTTGAGGAACTGACTTGAAGATATTGTCAAAACAGAAGGAGATGTGACCAACTCAGCACCCATAGTGGGGAGTCTCATTATTTATGTTACGACACTTTGTACTTAAAAGTCGGCATTTGTCTTCTAGTTCAATGTTCATTACTTAGACTGTGTAATTGACTTGAGGGAAGGCTATAAACGCAGAAATGGCTCTCGTGTGCAAAGTTCGTTATTACCGCCGCAGCAATTCTAGATGGTGACAGACTTCTGAAAAACATCTCTTAGCTCTGGGAAATCTCACATATGAAAAGAAAAATAATGAAAACTTTTAAATGCTGTTTACATCATTTCCGCCTTCCCTCAGTTCAGGTGGAAACTTGAGAGTTGTAAACAGTTGGTCAAAAGAGTTTTTTAGAAGGTCCTCCTTTGGGCCCATAAAGGCACTAAGTAGGATAGAAAAGATCATTTATTTTGGTCCCTTGTCACCAAAGTGAGGGTTTTGAGCCACCAGAGTCCGCATCTGCTGGGACTGTGCCAGGCTCTGAGGCCCCGCCCCAGACTTACTGAATCAGAATCTACTTTTTAACGGGACCCCCAGGCTATTTGTATGCACATTAAGAGAGCACTGGGAAGCACTGGTCTAATTGATAACTGGGTCTGTGCCGTAAACACCATTGATTGTTGCCTCTCTCTTTAATGATTTCATGGCTCCTTAATGGCTCTCCTGACTTGGGCTTACTCATTAAGGTAGCCACTTTTTCCCCTTTGGCTATTTCCAAGCATTGCTTGCTTGTTCTCTTATTTAATGAAGATTTATATGATGGTAGAAAAGAAAAATTGGGTGATTGAGCTGGAAGAGATACCAGCTTATATGCTTCAGAAAAATGAACTAGAAAGTCTAAAGGGAACATGCCAGATAAACTTCACTTGAAAGGTAATAATCAAGTGGAATATGGAGTCTTTTTGCTTCTACAAGAAGAAGTAATGCACTCATCAGAGCATACATTTGCACTGGGGAACAATTGAGAGGATAAAAAAATGAACCCCTTGAACTACTCAAATTAGCACACAGAAACTAAGGCCTTTTCTCCAAGCAGTGCCATAATAGTCAAAGTATACTTTTGCCTATATTACTTGAGAAATTGTCCAAAATTTGGATGTTCATAGAAAATCTTGAGGAAGCCCAATACCTAATTTTATTGTGCCATGCTCTGTCCAGTTAGTACTGTTTTCTTTATGAAGTGAAGTAGCTTTCTAGAGATTTGATTGAAAAACATGATTTTGAAGTTATTCCTTAATTCTTTTTTCTTTCTTTCTTGTTTTTTTTT